GACATTTGAGTTTAGAGTGAGAAGGAAAAACAAATCTGGGGGAGGGACCTTTCTGGAGGGAAGAGAAGATGCAAAATCCCTGAAGCTGGTACAAGAGGTATTACATCAACTGAGCTCAAGAATCCCACAGACTGCCCCAATGCCCACTACTTCGGGCAGTGCCGAGCTCAAGTAGGCATATGGGGGATCCCTGGGTGGCGCAGTGGTTTAGCGCCTGCCTTTGGCCCAGGGCGCGATCCTGGAGACCCGGGCTCGAGTCCCGCGTCAGGCTGCCGGTGCATGGAGCCTGCTTCTCCTTCTCCCTCTGCCTGTGTCTCTCTCTCTCTCTCTCTCTCTCTCTCTGTGTGTGTGTGTGTGTGTGACTATCATAAATAAATAAAAATTTTTAAAAAAAGTAGGCGTATGGCAAATGTCTGTTTTAATTGCATTGGGTTGGAGTCCAGTAGTATGAGAGGCAAACTAACAACAAAAATCAGTATGACAGATACATGCTTTCATGGGGCATTCACAGATTCTATGAGTACAACTTAGAAGGCTTCACGATCACCTTTTTGAGTGAATCCAAGAATGCATACCCTGGCTATTCCTCGTGTGCACCAACTTCCACCAACTTGATTCACTTGTTACAAAATTCAGCTTTTGCAGGGGCAAGGTTCCCATGCCTGGCACCTTATCTGAATCACCTGGGAACTTGTAAAATATCAGATTTTCGGGCCCCACCCGGGGATCTAATTCAGTAATTCTAGGGTGGCGCCTGTGCCTCTTTATCTTAAGGAGAAAAAAAAAAAATCCCCGGGTGATTCTGACATTGAGCCAGTGTGGGAATTGGTGTTCTAGAAGATACAGTTGACTCATTCCAATCAGTTCATGCCTTTACACATCCCAGAGTTCGAGTGTTAGATGTGAGGATGCTACTTCCCTGGAGACCCAAACATAGTATTATTCTAAGCCGCCAGCCCTTGGAAGAAGTTTCCAAAAGTGCCAGAGTCTGTGGTTTAGTGAAGTATTTTGCAAATTCTAGTCATACCTGTACCACCTTTCTCACATTTTGCCATCTCCACACCCCCCTGAACCATTATTTATTCTCTATCATTCCTTAGCTATATTCATTTTTAAAACCCATAAATTACATCAAACTTCAGATTGCTACCATAATTGGAGTGCAACATCTTTTGCTAAGATAGAGCTAACCTTAGAGTGAATTCAATAAAAACAAACCATTTTTTAAAAAAGGTCTAGCCAGGTAACTCTTGCCCCTCCCAAGCTTCTAAGTCTGAGATCTGTGGTTTCTTGGTTGAGAAATAAAAGTTAGCAATTGTTAGGCATGAAAGACGCACTAGCACCAAACTGAGACGTTCATGGATTGAAAGAAAACTGAAAGGGAATAACCTTTTCACTATGCGATTCATGTTTTTCAATGTCACGTCTACGCCACTGAACAGTTCCTGGGTACCATTGTGTTGTGCATCCAACTGAGGTAGACAAAATCTTCCTTGCTGATAACCAAGCGAAATACTCTATAATAGTAGCAGTAGGGGGAAAAAATACAAATTAATGTGGGAATGTAAGTAAAATTCAGAGAAGAATCCTGGAGAGAGATACAGGGGAAGATTCCCAAAGTAGCCCAAAGTCGGCTACTCTGGCCCATTTCCTTCCCGATCCTCTCCAAAGCTGGGTCCAGCCCCCAAATTCCTTCTCTCCCAGTTCCAAATCTTCAGGATGTCATTTTCACAGAAGCTTTTTGAAGGCAGGGATCCGATCTTACGCACGCCAGCATCTCCTGTACTTGGGCAATGCCTGGCCACCTAACACACGAGATGCTTGGTAAATGATTGAATGTAGTAAAAACACCCAGTCAGCAGACATGGGGCTTCTCCGGGGTGGATTCACGGTGAGCTCACTGCAGTCCCAGGCTTTTCTCTGCTCAGGCCTTACGTTTATACCACCTGTTCCTCTAACTGTGGTCCCCAGCCGGCAGGACTGGTGGTTTTACTGATTAAGCTGTGGTCCCTGGCACAGCTCCCTGTAAAGGTGTGGGAGGAAATTAGAATTAATTAGAATTAATATCCTTTTGCTGACATTGTCAATGCTGCAGTAGGGCTTTCTGTGCCTCAGTTGCCTAAGGACTAGGCTGGGGTTGGGTGGGGTTGATCATGGGTGGAGGCCAATTGGGTGATTTAGGGCAGATGAGCTAACAACTTGTATCACATGCATGAGGAAGAAATGAGCCTGTGGCCTCCCACGTGGGGATGTTAAAAATGCTAAAACAATAACAAGAAAGATTAAACAGCACTTTGCAAATGTGATGATAACACATGACTAGTAGGATGGGGAAAGTTACATTTCCTATAGCTCCCAAAAGAACTGTTCAGAAAAATATCTGTGGAACAGGTCACCCTAGGTCATTCCCTGCAAGTGAATGGCAAAGGTGGTAGCTGGGCGGGTTGTGAATGGGAGGTGGCCCGATTATACCGGGCAGGACTCCCTCGTGGTGGGTTCATGGTTCGGGGGCAGATAGTGAGGAGTAGGCACAGGTGAAGCCCCATTGCAACGACCACATGACAGTGCCACACCTTGAACTCCTAAATTACAAAATATCTAAGCTTGAGTTTGCTTTCTAGTTAGCGATACTGGATATGTCCGATTCCAAAAGAACAAAGGCGTTGTTAGCGGAAGTTCTCAAACTGGAGAGAGCGGGAGACTCACTGGCTCAAAGTGCTGATTCCCTGCGCCGTGTTCCAGCAGTTTCTGATTTGGAAGGTCTAGAGCAGTGGCCGTCAATCAGGGGGACGATTTTGCCCCTCCCAGGGGACATTGGGCAATGTCTGGAGACAATTTGGTTGACCCAGATGGGGTGGAAGGGTCTGGCATCTAGTTGGTAGGGGCCAAGGATGCTGCAGACACTCTATATTGCATAGAACAGCTTCTACCACAAAGAATTATGGGCCCAAATGCCCATGGAGTTAGGGTCAGATCATCCTATTCTAGGGTAAGAACTCACACCTACGGCCTAAGAATGTGCCCCTTAATGAGGGCCCGAGGGGATTTGGGTGCAGGCAGCCAGAGCCTTGACTGGGAAGAACTAGGCCATGCCTGCCTTCTTCTTCTAAGGCTTTGGCTGTCTCAGTTCCCCTCTTGCCTACCGCCCCGGCCCCCCCCCCCCCATATTTAGGACTCAACTTAGACTTGACTTTCCCCAGGAATCTCTGCCTGGAAACCATCCTCCCTCCCTCCACGGCCAGGCCTCCTACCCCATCACCCATCACTTGCCCCTCTGTCTGTCTGTCTCTCCCACTGGAATGAGAGTTCCCTGAGGGCAGGGTTCCGGTTCCGCCCTGTCCCCAGCACCTAGGCAGCTGCCAGACCCACACCTGGCTCACCAATCACCTGTTGGCTGGAATCTATCTCAGCTCCAGTGCCAGCTCCGGCATCGAGTCTAGAGCCAGGGCTGCCCCCTCTTCCAGACCCCATCACAGACCCTATTCTAACATCTTCATGGAGCTCATCTCTCAGAAATTACCTTGCTTATTTGCTTGCCTGCTTTTCATTCATTCAACAAATATTATATACTGGGCACCTACTGTATGTCCCTTTCCATTGCTGGGGCTAGCACAGTGAGCGAAAGAGGCAAAATCCCGCTTCCCAACCGGGCTTATATTCTAAAAAGGAACCAGGGCAATAAACGAAATAGAGAACTATACATAATCTATGTAATATTGATAAGCCCAGTGGAAAAGGAGAGAAAATAGAGAAACAGGCTAGGGAGTGGGGGTGAGGGGTGTGCATGTGCGCGGAAAATTATAAGTCAGGTAGACCTCTGGGAGAAGGTGACCGCTTGGGCCAAGACTGGGGATCTGGGAGTGACAGGTGTGCTCCGCCACTAGAATATAAACACTAAGAGGCCCGGGATCTTCCCTTTCGCTCTGGCCCCTGTGTCTCCAGAGCAGGCACATAGTAGGTGCTCAAGAAACACCGTTTAAACAAAGAGAATCTGGGATTACACTAGCCAGGAGGCAGATGGGAGATTTCTGTTTTTCTGACCAGGGAGAAAGGAGGGAGGGGCAGGGGCGGTAAACTTGGCGTGGGGGTGGGGAGGACATCTTCGCGGTCAGATTAGGAGACTTGGGGGATGGAGGTCACCGCTGGCTGAGACCCAAGTTCTCACCCCGGCTCAGAAGTATTGCGAAGGGCCCTGGGGGAGGGGCGGGAGGCTCACCTGCTCCCCCCCCCCCCCCCCCCCGCAGCTGGCTCCCTTTGCAACTGCAGAGTTTGGTCCCCACCCGCATCCCTGCCTGTCCCCTCCCTCCGCACGCCCTTCCCGGAGGGGTGTCCCCGGGGAGGGTGGAGGGTGGGGGGCGCCCGGAGGAGCCGCGGGGCGCGCCGGGTCCCCGCCCCCAGCCCCCCCTCCCCTCCCCGGCGGGACGCTGTCCCTTTAATAGACTCCCTCTGCCTGGCGCTCTGCGGCTGGGGAGTAAATTTCTCCCTGTCATCAGGTCGCGGGGAGCGGAGGAGGAGGAGGAGGAGTTTGTTAATGTTCAGTTTGTTCAGCGGGATCGATGTTTGCTGGCATCGCCTCGCCCTGTCTTGTGTGTGTGAGTGTGTGAGTGTGTGTGCGCGCGTGTGAGTGTGCGCGCGTGTGAGTGTGTGTGTGTGTGTGTGCGCGCATATGTGGGGGGTGCGCGTGTGTGTGTGTGTCTGTGCGTGTGAGTGTGTGAGTGAGTGGATTCCGGATTTTCCGTCTTTCCCCCAACCCGCTCCTGTCCTCTCGCATATCACTCACAGACGGGAATCTGACAGCAGCCACAAACCTACAGTGAGTGATCTCTCTCCCCCAGCGCGAATCCGCCATAGAGACCGGCGAGGAGGAGGAGGAGGAGGAGGAGGAGGAGGAGGAGGAGGAGGAGGAGGAGGAGGAGGAGGAGGAGGAGGAAGAGGAGCAGGAGGTGGAGGTGGAGGAGGAGGAGGAGGAGGAGGAGGAGGAGGAGGAGGGAAAGAGGAGAAGGAAGAAGAAGAAGAAGAAGAAGAAGAAGAAACCACTACCTCCCCAGGATTGCCTGCTTCTCCCCCTTCTCTTTACGCGCGCGTGTGCGTGTGGCGCGTGTGCGCCCCTCGTCCCTTCCATCCGAACGCGGTCTTGGATGTTTAATAAAGAAATCAAGTGTCTCAACAGTCACCCAAAAAAAAAAAAAAAAAAAGAACCAAAAAAACCAAAAATCTCCAAAAAAGCAAAAAAAAAAAAAAAAAAAACCAAAAAGAGAGAGACAGAGAGGCGAGAGAGCGAGGGGGAGCGAGATTCCAAAACAAACAAACAAACAAACAACAAGGCAGAGCCAACCTCTACTTGCGAGCAGCCGGCGCGAGCCGCCCGTGTCCGCCGCCCGGAGAGGGGGGTGTCCTCGGGCCCGTGGTGGAGGAGTTGCAGGGGGGATCGCCGGGGGGCCTGAGGCCGAGAGACGCCCCAGGAGCCGCCGGGCAGGAGGCGGAGGAGACCCGGAGAGGCGAGAGAGCAGCGGGCCCCCGCGCGCGGCTCGGGGCTGGGCCGCCAGAAGTGGGACTGGAGCGAAGTAGAGCGATGCCAAGGAGGAAACAGCAGGCACCCAAGCGGGCGGCAGGTAAGAGAACCGGCTCCGCTCCGGGGCGGCCCCGCGGCTGCCCCGCGCGCCGAGCCCCCCGGGCGCACCCCCAGCCGCGCGGGGAGGTCGCCCCGGGCGCCCCCCGCTGCCCCGCGGATAACCCCGTCCTCCCTCGCGCCTTCCTCCATCTCGCGGATGCTTCCCCCTTGCAGGCTCGGGGTGGGTGGGGGGGTGGGGGGGTGAGGGTATCCCACCAAGCCTTCCCTCCTTAAACTTTCTTTCCCTCCACCCTCTACCCCACCCCTAACTTTCTCCCAGTCTGTCTCTTGCCTCTCGGGGCCAAAGTTGGGTTGAGGATTCGGGGTGCGGGGTTGGGAGCCGGTCCTCGCACCCTCGCATCCCTCCGCGTGGACAGTGCCAGCGGCTGCTGGCCTCGAGGGACCGCTGTCTCCCTCTCTGCTGGGGGTTCGGGGCGCTGGAGTGGGAGGCGTGATGCCCCAGCCCTGGGCTGCAGGCGGGTTTGGGGGCAAGCAGTGAGAGTGTAACTTTGCTCGCCAAGGTGGAAAAAAAACCACCCCAGGAAAAGGACTGACTGAACCTTTGAATATGCTTGGAAGTGTCATCAAGACTCTTTCTCTTTAAAAAGGGGGGAAAAGGGGACCCAGTAGAACATCGAAACAGCTCTGGATTTCCTTTGCCCAGAGAGAGTTGTAAACTTTGTAAATTGATTTGTACCGTATCCCATCTGAATCCTTCCTTACCAACCCCCCTCCCTCCCCATCCTCCACCCCCCCCCAAAAAAAGAGAGGAACAGGTTAATGGATCAGTACAATAGACCTTCTAAAGGGTTTTTTTTTTTCCTTTTGGGTTGCTTAATTGCTTTTTTAATAGTATGCTGGGGTTTTGTTTCTCGGAAGTGTAATATGAAAGTTCATTTTTCTCCTGCCAGACCCACCCACTGAAAAATCAGCTTTCCACTTGATTGCTAGTTTTGATTTGACATTTGATTGATCACCTGTCATCTCGCTGCCTTTGATCTATTCATTCTTGATATATATCAATAAATCACTCACCATGGTAACTCAGAGTGCCAGTGACGCAAGCCTTGCCCTCTAGATTCAGAGCCAGACATGCACAATTATTATCTTGTTTGGCTTTTAATGTGGGCGTTTTTATTTCTTTGTGTCCTTTAGTTGAATCGGGGCTTTAGCGAAAAGCTTAAGTTTTGTGTGCGTGTTTTTTTTTTTTTTTTTTTTTTTGCCCTGGTCTCTGTATTTACCCTCATGCTTTAGGCAGCATCAGTTAGGGATGGAGTTCTGCAGACCCAACAACACGTTTCCTTTCTGCTGTAACATGAGCGAAACATTGAGAGAGAAGTTCCGTGGAACACTTTGGTAAACTTTGTAAAGCCACCCTTAGAACGAGTCCAAAGTTAGCTGCAGATCTGGGCAAAGTGGGTGTTTGTGTCTGAACATGCTGGACCACCAAGCTCATCCTCCATCATGGCCTGATTCCAGCCTGAATGGCAGTCCATGTGCTTTGAAATATCCACAATTATCTTCCCTTCAGAGCGCAGAATTGCTTCCGTAGCCATGCGTAGATCGGTTCAGATTGCAGGCGGAAATATCATTTATAAAGCTCTGATTTATGTGTTTTCCAACTGTTTCCCTAAAAGCAAAATAATTAAAATATTTTCAGTGCCGTGTGTATTTGGAACTTGCCTTGTCAGTGAGGTGCTCTTTTTTCAACTCCGGCTACCTCTTTTGAAAACAATTTCTCCCTCCCGCCCCTGTCCCTGTCTGCATTTAACTCACTTTTTTTTTTTTTTTTTTTTTTTTAAAAAAAAACTTGGATTGTTTTGCAAACTGACAGTGTTGGGGCGTGCACTGGCCTTCTGGACCCAGGAAAAGTGAGCGTGCTCCTTCTAGTTCTGGCAACCCAAGTTTCCGTATAGCTAGATTATTAGAGATAACGTCCTTATTGTCCCAAAAGAGAACCCTGGGCAACAGTCCAGCAAGAAGTGATACTGCCCTGAAAATTACTCTTCCTCTCCGCCACCCCCCCCCCACCCCTTGTTGTTCCGGTAAAGGCCATCAACAACTAGGCAGTAATTTAAATTACCAGAATGACTGGACATGTCTCCTTTGGTAAGCTCATTATAAAAAGTGCATTGCTCAGAATTGCACTACTTTGATTATAATTATCCTCTGATCAATGAGGATCCAGGTGTACGTAACATAATGCTGTATCACATTATTTAAATTAGATCCTTTTCATTAAGCTGGTATCTATTGGAACTGGCTTGTCTCTTTAGCGTGTGTGTGTGTTAGAAAGTTGTGACTGCAGTTTCAGTTTTCTGGCCTATTGAATGCCTACTGTCTTTCTATGTTTGTTTTCATGGCTTTATTATTTTCACTGAAAAAAAGGGGAAACCCTTGTGGAGCTGAAAGGGAGCGATTCATTTTGTACACAATGAGGCCCCTCTTGCAGTATTTATTTGCTCACATATTAATAAAACGGGTATTTTATTTTTTCATGCAAGGTTTCTTTCCTCCAAAGTCATCGATGCTGTACTCTGCTTTAGCTGAGGTGGTGGTTCACAAGTAAAGTTAGCCACTTTAGGATTCTTGAGCCAGTTGACACTGTAAGGAAAAGAACAAGGTGGGCTCTAGGATTGTGGCCATACTAACTTTTATCGCTGCCTGAAATTAAACACAATGCACAACTGTAAGTAATTACTCCCATGGACTGATGTTGAAAGCTTGATTTCTAGCTTGATTAATGAATAATGTAAGATAGAAAAAGCCTGTGAGTGAATCAGAGCTGAGACTCTTTCCCAAGAACTGTTCGAGGCAATCTGATTCCTTTGCATTATGAGTTTTAAGTTCCATGTTTCAAGGAAGCAGTTACAGAACTTTCTAATAAAGCAGGTATGATGGAGATAGAACGAACCAGCTGGTATTAGAAGTGATGAGAATTTTTGGTCTTTATTTGTTATGTTCCCGCCACCCCACGCCACCCCACCCCACCTCCCCCTTTAAGAGCAGGGATGTGAGGTAGGCAGTTCTCTTTAAGGAAACAGCTAAGTCAGAACATTTCCCTCTGAAATGTCATTCTTCCTGGCTCTCTACAGCTATGCTATTCCACCATACTATTACTTCGGGCAAGAAAAAAAAAAAAAAAGTTCAGAAAACAGCCTATAGTACCCCAGGGGTTTGTGTAGGTGCGAGTGTGTGTGTGCTCGCTCGCTTGGCCCTATATTTCACTCCCGACTAAAATGCATCCACTCTTACCTGAGAATATTGCAGGAGTTTCTTTCAGCATCTCTCTCGCCCTATCCATTTTTAGGGCAGATAGAGAAGATGGCAGAAAGGTAAAATAAAACCGAGCAGTGTTTTGATTTGTTTGTATTTTGCAGGATGCAGAGTAGTTAAAAATTTAAAATTGCAGACTTACACTGCAAACCCTTCTATTTTCTACAATCTGTCACAGCCTCTGTACACAGACATGTGTAACACATATATTTTCTTTTACCACCCTGAACTATTGTTTTTATATAACGCCAGCCAAGTGTAATAGAATGCAAAATCTTTGGGGCTTGCGAATATCGAACGTATACAGAAGTTGCAGGCTTCTGCTTCTGCCAACCCAAAGAGATTAAAGGCTTCCTTCTTGTTGACTCTTGGAAGCTATCTTGATAATCCAGATCTGAGGAAAAGTCTTGCAGGGAAGAACAGCTCCCTCAATTTATTTTGTTTATTTAATATGGAGATGAATAATGCAGATTTTGTTTTCATGAATGTCCTTGTGTGGCAGTAAACATTAGACTATTAGCAATCATTACTTAAAAGTTGCAATTTGCACCTTAATGGCATAGTTTATTTACATGGGAAGCATATTCAGCAGGGACGGTTCTGAATCCTGCAATGGAGCAGAGTTGACCCCAGCGATCTCCTTTTCAGCCTCCTGGGAGAGGTGCCTGGGGGAAACGGGGAGGTCTCAGCGATCTCTACCAGCAGGGTGGGGAGGGGGGGGCAGGCAGCCCAGGGAGGAAGTTTACCTTTAATTTACTGGCAAGTGGGATGGGATTCGAGGGAATAGGAATCGGGGTGGAGTCGGGACCCTGGCACTCTCACTTTGTTTAAACATACTTCAGAGAGACAAGTTCACATCTTGAAGATTCAAATACCGTGTGCTGTCGCCCCTGTTCACTTACCCAAACGGTAGGGTTTTAACAGATGAACGGAAAAAATAAGCACACACAGCCCACCCCCCCACCCCACAGGGGCTCAGCAGCATGAACTGTTCTGGCTCTTCTTGTTATTTAAGGCAGATCCCTGGAAAAGGAAGGACAGGTCCCCCGAATCGCATCCTGCACAGAGCGCTTTGGATGGAAATTGATTACTTAAGTGGGCCCTTCCCCACTCGCCTCCTGATTTCCTTCTCCCTTCTCTCACCTCACCCTTAAAGACCCAGATTGAGTGGGACATCTCAAAAGCCCATTTGTTTTAGGCATTTATTGATTTCATTTTTAATCTGCCATATCAGGACACAATACATTAGCTCTAATCAGCAGATTGCAAGTGACAGGGAGTTCTAGTGGAAGGTAGGTAAAGGAGAGGGGCCACTGAGAAACTTCTGTACCATGACAATCTGCTTGAGGCTTGGGGGTTGGAGATGGGAGGCTACTTTTGAGGAGGGTGGAAACATCCCTCAGAACTACCGTGCACTGATTTTTCTCCCACTCACCTCGATTCCACGTTTGGGAAACCTTCGCACCCAACAAATACCTCCTAGGCATCTTTAGCAGATCTGTCCCTGGAAGCATCTTGCCTTTTGTCACAACCTCCAACAGAGGCTTATGCTTTCATTTCATCCCAGGTGACTTCTCACGCATTTCTCCAACTGGATAATACCTGTGTTGATCTGTTTATCTTCCCAGTGGCTTGGGGATTGTACTCTCAGTTGAGCAGGTTTTAAAGGGGCACTGAGCTTGGCATTATTTAAGGCCGTTTGCAATGATACACTCCTGCTCATCA